TGGGTGCTGCTCTGTCACAGTATGGCCTTGGGACCTTAATGAGCCTCAGTTTCCCCATCTGTAAAATGAATATGACAATGCCTACCTCGGGCTCTGTAAGGATCAAATTTAAGTGTTTGCTTTGTAAACTATACAGGGAAGTACACAGGAGAGGTTGGTTGTTATCTGGAAAATTCACTCCAGTAGACTTCTTTCCTTTGTTATACTGAATATTGGACCCATAAGGTATGTTGTTGTTTTCAAAGAGGGTCATTGGGACACCTGGGTGGCTCAGCCAGTGAAGCATCCAACTCTTCAGTCCAGGTCATGATCTCAGGGTCCTGGGATAGAGCCCCACATTGGGCTCCTCGCTCAGCGGCAGTCTGCTTGAGATTCTCTCTCCCTCTCTCTCTGCCCCTCCCCAGCTTGCTTGTGCATTCTCTCACTCTCTCTCTCAAGTAAATAAATAAATCTTTTTAATAAAAAAAGGTCATCAATTTTTTTTTTAATTATGGTAAAAGAAAATATATAGGGGTGCCTGGGTGGCTCAGATGGTTAAGCGTCTGCCTTCGGCTCAGGTCATGATCTCAGGGTCATAGGATTGAGCCCCGCATCGGGCTTCCCGCTCAGTGGGGAGTTTGCGAGTTTGCTTCTCCCCTCTGCTTGTTCTCTCTCTCTCTCTCTCAAATGAATAAATAAAATCTTAAACAAAAAAGAAAGAAAGAAAGAAAATATATAAAAACATAAAATTTGCCATTTTAACCACTTTTAAGTGTACAATGTGGCATTAATTACATTCACACTGTTGAGCAACAATTGCCATGATCTATTTCCAAAATTTTTCATCATCCCAAATAGAAACTCTGTACCCATTAAGCAATAACTTCCCATTTACCCCCTCCCTCCAGCCCCTGGTAACCTCTAATCTCTGTCTTTATAAATGAGTTTGTTCTAAATATTTAATATAAGTGGAATCGCGATATTTGTCCTTCTGTGTCTGGCTTATTTCACTTAGCATAATGTCTTCAAGATTCATCTATGCTGGGGCGCCTGGCTGGCTCAGTCAGTGGAGCATGCCACTCTTGATCTTGGAGTTGTAGGTTTGAGCCCCATGTTTAGAGATGACTTAAAAATAAAACCTTAAAGGGCGCCTGGGTGGCTCAGTTGGTTAAGCGACTGCCTTCGGCTCAGGTCGTGATCCTGGAGTCCCGGGATCGAGTCCCGCATCGGGCTCCCTGCTCGGAGAGGAGCCTGCTTCTCCCTCTAACCCTCCCCCCTCTCATGTACTCTCTCTCTCTCTCATTCTCACTCTCTCAAAAATATATAAATAAATCTTAAAAAAAAAATAAAACCTTAAAAAATATTCATCTATCTTGTAGCATGTATCAGAACTTCATTCGTTTTTTTTTTTAAGATTTTATTTTTAAGTAAATCATGATTGTGGTGGTAGTCATACCATTGCATGAACATTTAAAGACTCACAGGGGTGAGCCTGGGTGGCTCAGTTGGTTAAGCGTCTGCCTCTGGCTCAGGTCATGATCCCAGGGTCCTGGGATTGAGTCCCGCTTCGGGCTCCTTGCTCAGTGGGGAGTCTGCTTCTCCCTTTCCCTCTGCTGCTTCCCCTGCTTGTGCTCTCTCTCTGACAAATAAAGAAATAAAATCTTTCAAAAAAATTAAAGACCCACAGAACTACACTAAAAAGGTGAATTATAAGGTAAAATATACCTTAACCTTTAAAAAAAGAATGAATACATGAATGGGGGAAAAACTAAGACTCTAGACTCACATTTTTGCTACCTTGAGAACTTTGCAAGTGACAACAGCCTTCATTATTTAGAGCATAAATTTCTATTTTTTCATTCATTCATTCATGATAAAATGAAGGTACTTGAATCTATCATCCAACCCAAGAACTACAACATCACTAAAATTTAAATCTATTTACTGTTACCCCCAACACCCCCCAGGTAATCACTGTTCTGAATTTTGAGTTCTTCATTCTTTTGTTTGTTTTTTTAGTTTTGTTTTTTTTTTTTGGCATACATAAATTAGGCTGGGCCTTATGAATTTGCCATTTTTATAGGTCAAAACAGATCACAACCCAGCAACTTCATATAGTTCAACCCGCTATTATGCCTAAACATAGTAGTTCTGGTTTTATTTGAATTTTACAAAACGAATACCATTCCATCTATACTCTTCTGGGACTTGCATTTTTTTTCTTAATTTTGTTTTCTTTTTTCTTTTTTCTTTTTTTTTAGTAATCTCTACACCCAACATGGGGCTGGAACTCAACACTGAGATCAAGAGTCACATGCTCTTGCAACTGAGTCAGCCCTGAGGGACTTAACATTTTTTTTTAAGATTTTATTTATTTATTTGACAGAGAGAGACACAGCGAGAGCAGGAACACAAGCAGGGGGAGTGGGAGAGGGAGAAGCAGGCTTCCCACCGAGCAGGGAGCCAGATGCGGGGCTCGATCCCAGGACCCCGGGATCATAACCTGAGCCAAAGGCAGATGCTTAACGACTGAGCCACCCAGGCGCTCCAGGACTTAACATTTTCCACTCAATATTATTTCACCATGATTCAGCCGCATTGCTGTTTTTCATTCATTTTCTTTTTTTTTTTTTTTTTTTTTAAGATTTTATTTATTTTTTTAGAAAGAGAGAATGAGAGAGCACGAGAAGGGGGAGGGTCAGAGGGAGAAGCAGGTGCCCCGCTGAGCAGGGAGCCAGATGTGGGACTCCATCCTGGGACTCCGGGATCATGACCTGAGCCAAAGGCAGTAGCTTAACCAACTGCGCCACCCAGGTGCCCTTCATTCATTTTGTACTGTTGTATAATTATTCCACATTTCTTTATTTCCTGTCAATGGCATTTGAGTGTTTTTGGTTTGGGGATAACATGAACAATGTTTCTACTACCATTCTTATACATGGCTCCTGGCATATGTGGCCTTTTTTTTTTTTTAAGATTTATTTTACTTTTTATTTTTTTAAAATTATTTTTATTTGTTTTTGCAAGAAAGAGAGAACATGACAGGGGAGGGGCAGAGAGAGAAGCAGGCTCCCCAATGAGCAGGGAGTCTGATGTGAGACTCAATTCCAGGACCCTGGGATCATGACCCAAGCCAAAGGCAGACACTTAACTGACTGAGCCACCCAGGCACTCCTTATTTATTCATTTTAGAAAGAGCATGCATGAGTGAGGAGAGGGGCAGGGGGAGAGCACAGAGCCCACGTGGGGATTCATCCCAGGACCCTGAGATCATGACCTGAGCTGAAATCAAGAGTCTGATGCTTAATCTAACTGAGCCACCCAGGCACCCCGTATGTGTGCAATTCTTGTGGCTGTACCCAGGAATGGATTTCCTGGGTCTTATACACAGACGTTCAGCTATACACAATGTGACTCACTTTCTGGGCTCCAAATGAGGATATATCGTACTACTTGCCTCTAGGTGAGAATGTGGACAAGATGTGGTGGGAGTTGCGGATGGTTTCTGGTGGAATTGAACACTACTGTGTGCACATGGTAAGGCACCCATAGACTGAGATGATGGTGCCCTCAGAGATGAGACAGGGAAGGAAACCCCCCAGTTGCCATGGGCATCATCTTCCAAGGAGTGTTCCACCCTGGCTGGAGGAGAGGGCTTGGGACCCAAACAGGGCAGACAAAGGGCTCTATGATTCTAGTTGGCAGTATCTCCGTCTAGGGTTAGGAGGTTGTGTATCTGGTACATCTGAAGGGGAGAGGCCTCGCAGTGCTGAATTCCTCCTACCTACCAATCCTTGCCCCAAAGATCTCTCCACATATCCTTTATCTCACTTTGTATCCATTATCTTTTTTAATTCTCCCAGTTGGAGAGAGGTACTATTATCTTCACAGATGAGGCTTAGAGAAGGGAAGTGCCTTGCCCAAAGTCACATGGTTTTTTCCAGCTGCCTGAACAAATAATTTTCCCTTCCTTATCCTCAGTTTCCATATCTGTAAAATGGGAATAACACCTGACTCACCTCCCAGACTGTGGGAGGATTAAATAATATTATGCAAGCATGAGTCCTGGAGATGCTCCTTGAAAGTCACTTGTTTAAAAAAAAAAAAAGGAAAGGCACTTATTTATTGGTGCTGTTGTTATTATTAAGTCGTTATTAAGGAGAGCAGGAACCCAAGATAATCTGAGCCCTGACTTCTAGTCACCCAGCGATGTTGCCTCTTGCAGAGACACCATGGGAAGTGGTAATCATGGCCCATTTTGATCACCTCTGCCGCTCCGTGAAGTGTCTTTCAGGACTGCACAGCCCAGCCCCCTCCTCCACCCTGCTTCTAGGCCCCAGAATAGAAGTAATTGATCTCCCCTGCAGACTTCCCCAAACAGAGGTGAATTAACCAGCGAGCAGAGGGTGCACACCCCCTATTCTATCTCAGGGCAAAGGAAGAAATCGGGGAGCCCAGTGGTTCATTCAACTGAGAATATCTGCTGAGCACCTAGTATGTGCCAGTCCTGCGGTGGGCACCACGAGCATTGGGAACAAGACCAGACCCTGTCCTCGAGTCAGAAAAGGAGGAGTCAGAAGACAAGAAAACTGCGTGCTGAGTATTATAACAACGAAGTACAGAGAACTGTTCTATATAACAGGAAACCAGACAGGCCTAGGGTCGAGAGAACGCGTCCCAGGAGATACATGCCCTTGGAGCTGCGCCTTTAAGAACTGGCAAGCGCTCCCCAGGTGCGCAGAGACTGCTAGGACTACCTGCTCATTTAACAGGAGACTGAACCACCAGCGTCGGTCTACCCTGCCCGCCTCGCTTAGCCAGACCAGGCTGAGCACCGCTTCTTGTCCGTAGGCCCAACGCCCCAGCCTGGCCGCGGTGAACCACGCCCCCCCACCCCGCGCTCGGGGCGGGGCCTCTGCCCAGGTGCGCGGCGGCGTCGGCGGCAGCGCTTCGCGGAGGCAGGAAGTGTGTCCCCAGCGGCGGCCCGTGCAGCGCTCCCGCGAGACGCTCACCTGCGCTCCAGGTGAGCGGCGAGGGGGGCGGGGGGAGGGGCCGAGCTGGAGGCGGCTCACCTGGCGGGACAGGTAAGCCCCGCGCGGGGCCGTGGGGGGCGAAGCACGGCGGCACTGGTGTGGAGAGACCCCCGAGGCTACTCCTGGGCGGGGGAGGGTCCCGGGGCCGGTTCCTCGGGAGCCACCCTCCCACTTCCGGGGTGCGCGGGCCGGGCCGGGGAGCGGCCCGAGCGGGCGTCTGGGCTGCGCGGGCAGAATTGGGGGGGGCCGCGGTCGCCCTCAGGGCTGCGCTGGCTGGGGGCGGGAGCCGTGCTGGCCGGGGGAGGCAGGGTCGGGAGGAGGCGGGGGGCCGTGCACACCCAGAGGAAAGGTGTCAGGGCAGGCGGGGGGCCCTTGCAGCTGGAGAGGGTGGTGATCGCTCCGAGGGCACTGCTGGTGTAGGGGCTGTGCTGATCGGAGGGGCAGTGCCGGGGTCTGGTTCTCCCTTGCCTCGGGAGTAGGTGCCCCCGGATGCCGGAGTCGCGGGCTGAGCTTTTGGGGCAGGAAATGGAGGGTGCGGGGATGCCGGGTGCGAGAGCAGAAGGCTGTTTCCCGAGCAGGGCTGGGGTGCCCCTCTCGGCCGGGTGTGCAAGACTAGGCTGGGTACGGGGGTGGGGCCTGTCCTGGGGACCTTGGGAGGAGGGGGATGGTACAGAGACAGACCCCTGTGTGTGTGTGTGTGTGTGTGTGTGTGTCTTCTCAGGGATAGGGAAGGGGAAGAGCATCAAGACAAGTTTGGTGAGGGCGGGCTTAGGACCTTCTGACTCTGAGGAAGATCCCTGCAGTGACTTGGGGCGCCCAGCGTCCAAGCCCCTCCCACGTGCCAGGCACCACACTAAGCAACATGCACGGAGTATCTCATTTAAACCTCACAGTGGCCCAGGAAGATACTCCTCTCTCACTCCTCTCTCGCCTTTAAAGAGGAGAAAACTGAGGCCCAGAGTCTTGCTCCAGGCCACACAATAGGAGCAGGGGCCCTTCCCTCACTCAACCAAGTGACCAGTGTTCCTAGGGTTTGGGAGGTGGGGGCAGCAGCAGCTAGGGGAAGATAAAGCCTGGAAAAAGTGGGCTGAGTTCAGGAGGGTTCTGGACCTAGAGGGGTGGGGGAAACTGAGACAAGCCATTGTCCTACCCTAGGTCTTGCTCCCCACTTCTCTATCTCACCCGCATTCCAGGTATGTGGCACAAAACAAAGTACATGGGCTCCAGAGTCTGGTAGAGCACAGTACAAATCCTGTTCCATCCCTTTCCAGCTGGGTGTCTCTGGGCAAGTCACTTCTGAGCTTCAGCTTCCTGATCTGTAAAGTGGAGTTATAATACTTACAGAGCAGGTGTGACTGTTAGGTAAAGTGAAAGTCCTCTTGGGCCATAGCCTGTTTCTGGCCCATTCACTGCTATTTCCCCAGCATTTAGCACATTGCTGGGCACATGGTAGTGCTCAATAAATATTTGCTGGGTGAATTTAATGAATAGTAGCAAATCCTTAAGCCTTGGAGGTAGAGAAGGAGTGACCCAGACCATCATCAGTAACCCCTTGCTGTTTTTACAAACCCCAGGTACCCCAGAGCTCAGTGTGGTTCCAACAGTGTAGAGGCACCCAATCTCCTCATCCAAGGCCTGAGCCTGGAAGACTCAGGGCTTCCTATGTGGTCCCTCCATGGGTACAGGCTTGTCCATGGAGCTGGCGGCTGGCCACTTTGCCCCCTTCCTCCCAAGTAATAGATGGGATGAGGTAGTGGGTAAGAATCTGGGCCAGGCTGCTTGGGTACAAATAGATGTGTGGCTTGAACAGCTTACTTAACTCATCTGAGCCTTTCAATGTATAGTAATAATATTATAGTAAAATAATAACAACAACAATAATAATACCTGCAAATAAGGTTGTGAGAATTGGTTTAATACATTCACAGTACAAAAAACAATGTAAGCCGTCAATAATTAACTCATTTACTAGAATGCAGACTCCTGAGATTAGGGAATTTTGTCTGTTTCACCAAAATTTTGGTGTCCACCAAATTTAGAACAGTTCCTGGCATTCAGTAGGCCCTCACTAAATATTTGTTAATTGAGTGAATGAATGAGTCCATACTCACCCCCACATTGCTCAAACCAAGGCAAGGTTTTTAACCACTAGCCTGTCCGGATTGTGAGGGACTTCCAAGTCACCTATTACAATTTGTGTGCACACCTTTGGAGAGGGGGTTTCACAATCCTTCCCCAAGCCTGCTGCTACCCCCACTCTGGTCAGCCTAGAGTCTAAGTCATTTTTCTTCCTACCCAATGGTCCTGGTTCTACTCTGAGGTCGCACAGAATGTGTCAGTCCCCTCAAGCACTTACTGTACCCAACCCTGTTCTGACACTGAGGCAGAAGGGAGTCAGACACAGTCCCAGCCCCTTGGGGTCATATAGGCTTATCTTCAAACAGTGGGTTCGAGGCTGACCCAGCTGACAGAGCCCAGGAGGAAGCTGTGAGGAGAGGGGCTCCCATCTGACTTGGGGAGCTGGAGGGGCCTTGGAGAAGGAGTGCTGAATGGGGCCAGAGGAGTGAATTCTATAATTGCAGGAATAAAGAATTCCTGTATCCTCTTACCAGTCGCCATGGCTAACATTCCTTCCCTCCCTTTCTCTCTTGAGACACATGCACCTTCTGATTTTCGTGGGAAACTTTTTAGATTAGCTTGCTGATATCATGCTCCAGTATATACTTCCTGAGAATAAGAACATTGTCTTATATAACCGTAGTAATCAAATTCAGGATATTTAACATTGGCATATTCCTATTAAATAATATACAGTCTACTTTAAAATTTCATCACTTATCCACATTATCCAGTTTCCTAATTTTCCTCTTGATCCAGGATCCAATCAAGGATCATACATTGCATTTAGTTGTCATTCCCTTAAGTTGGACTTATCTGATGTCTCCTCATGATTATGTTTAGGTTATGCATTTTGGGCAGAAATACTTCTTAAGTGATGTAGTATCCTTCTTAGTGCAGAGTATCAGGAGGCACATGATGTCAGTTCATCCCATTATTGATGATGTTAACTTCGATCGTTTGATTACAGTGGCATCTGCCAGGTTTCTCCAGATTTTTTAAGTTCTCCCTGGCTGCAGCAAGTAGAAGGGAATGGAGGTGGCCAGAATGGGAGCCTTGACAGTACCTGGGTGAGAGATGATCATGGTCCTGTTTGTTTGTTTTTTTTTTTAAGATTTTATTTATTTGTTTTGACAGAGAGAGAGACAGCGAGAGAGGGAACACAAGCAGGGGGAGTGGGAGAGGGAGAAGCAGGCCTCCCACCAAGCAGGGAGCCAGATGCGGGGCTCGATCCCAGGACCCAGGGATCATGACCTGAGCCGAAGGCAGACGCTTAACGACTGAGCCACCCAGGCGCCCTGATCGTGGCCCTGTTTAAAGAGGTGGCATTTATTTGTCCAAAGCACATTGTCTTTTAGAGCCAGAACTGGGACTAGAACACAGATATTCTGATGCCCACTCCCAGGCTCCTCACACATCACTAGTTCTAGGACCCCAATGCCATTAAATCAGGGATAAAAAGATAAGGGATCAGTGTTGCAGAAAATCCAGGTTGTTGCGTGGCAAACCCCTACAGGGATCGTGGACCTTCCACATATCACTATGTAATGTTCCCTGACTCCCTCAGGCATAGTTATTCACTCCCATGATGCCTCCTATATCCTACACATTACATCTTAGCAGCTTTTAAGCATGTTTTTCCTACAAAACTGAGTGAATCACAAGAACAGGGTCTCTAGTTTATTCATCTTTCGTTTTACAGCGCCTAACATGGGGACGGGCTCAGTGATTATGGGATAAAGGAAGTCCTCACTCTGAGCCTGCTAGCAACCAAGTCAGGAAGGGAAAGAAGGTACACTTTGTGGCTTGGCTTTCTTGTCTAATCAAAGGAAGCAAAAGAGTGCTTGGTTTTAAATATTGCTAGGAGAGCAAATCTGAGCCGGTCTGAAACACTGACAGGGGAACTGTCACATGCCCATGACTGATTTGAAGGAAGAGGGGAAGGGAAGGTAGTAATGGTCAGGTTCTGTAGCAAGTCACATGGGAAGGCATGTGTTGAGAGCCTCAGAGACTCTGTTGGGTGGGATTACCAACAGAGGGAATAAACTGGGGGAGACCATTCCCCAGAAAGTGAGATCTCGGGAGATTTTTCTTTCCATGTGGTAAAACATTTTAAATTTTTTGTTACCATTTTAATTCTACAGTTCTGTGGCATTAAACACATTCACATTGTTGTGTGTTGTGTAACCATCACTACCATCCATCTCCAGAACTTTATCATCTTCCTAAAGTGGAACTCTACCCATTAAACACTAACTTCCCATTTCCCCTGCCTCCAGCCCCTGGCAACCACCATTTTACTTTCTGTCCTAAGAATTTGACTATTCTAGATATTTCATATAAGTGGGACCATACAATACGTGTACTTTGTGTCAGGTTTATTTCACTTAGTGTAATGTCTCAGAGCTCATCTATGTTGTGGCACATATCAGAATCTTACTCCCTTTTAGGGCTGAATAATATTCTGTTGTATGTATACGTCATGTTTTGTTTATTCATTCATCTGTCAGTGGACATTTAGGTTGTTTCCACCTTTTGCCTGTTGCAAATAATGCTGCTGTGTGGACATTGGCATACAAATGTCTGTTTCAGCCCCTGCTTTCCATCCTTTTGGGGGGTATATGCCCAGAATTGGGATTGCGGGGTCCCATGGCCGTCCTGTGTCTAATTTTTGGAGGCACTGCTGTGCTGTCTGCCACAGCAGCCGCACCATTCTCCAAGGGCTCCTCCGTCTCCACATCCCCAGGGCCTGTCATTTTCTGCTTTTTCAATAGTAGCCACCCACCACATCCCTGGGTGTGAAGTCCCAGGACATTTAAAAAAAAATTTTTAAATTTTTATTTAAATTCAATTAATTAACATAGAATGTATTATTAGTTTCAGAGGTAGACGTCAGTGATTCATCAGTCTTATATAATACCCAGGACTTTTTTTTTTTTTTAAAGGTTTATTTATTTATTTGAGAGGGAGGGGCAGAGGGAGAAGGAGAGAGAGAATCCCAAGCTGACTGTGCACTGAGCGTGGGAGCCCAACGCGGGGCTTGATCCCGGGACCCTGAGATCATGACCTGAGCCGAAATCAAGAGTCAGACACTTGACTGACTGAGCTGCCCAGGCGCCCTGTCCCAGGAAATTTTGACATGTAGGTTAGACCAGAGACAGAATTTCTTCTTTGGGGAGGGAGGGACACTAGGTGAGGGTTCATGGGCATAACTGCACCCTTGAACCTGACTCCTTCCTGGACTCTCCTCTATAGGTGCCTGGCTGCAACAAATCATGCAATGAGCCATGCCCCGCCCTGGACACCCCCGCCCATCATCTGGGCCCCCACGCCTGGGACCCTGGGAGCGGCCAACAGAACTATGCCTGGAGACTTTTGATGAGCCATCCCAACCCCCACCAAGCCGCCGCACCCGCAGGCCGGACCCCAAGGACCCTGGCCACCATGGGCCCGAGAGCCTTACCTTCATCTCTGGCTCTGCTGAGTCTGCTGCCGAGCCCCCAGCCTGTTGTCTGCTCTGGCGCCCCTGGGTGTGGGACTGGTGCCGGGCTGCCTTCTGCTTCCGCCGCTGCTGGAGTTGCCTCCAGCGGTGCGGGGCTTGCATGCGGGGCTGCAGCCCCTGCTTGTCTGCTGGGGACTCCCCTGAGGGGGCTGCTGAAGCCAACTGGGCCAAAGAACACAATGGAGTGCCCCCCAGCCCCGACCGTGCACCTCCCAGCCGGCGGGATGGCCAACGGCTCAAGTCAACCATGGGTAGCAGTTTCAGCTACCCTGATGTCAAGCTCAAAGGCATCCCTGTGTATCCCTACCGCAGCGCCACCTCCCCAGCCCCTGATGCGGACTCCTGCTACAAGGAGCCACTGGCTGAACCCCCACCCATGCGGCACAGCCTGCCCAGCACCCTTGCCAGCAGCCCCCGTGGCTCCGAAGAGTACTACTCCTTCCATGAGTCAGACCTGGACCTGCCCGAGATAGGAAGCGGCTCCATGTCTAGTCGAGAGATCGATGTGCTCATCTTCAAGAAGCTGACAGAGCTGTTCAGCGTACACCAGATTGACGAGCTGGCCAAGTGCACATCAGACACTGTGTTCCTGGAGAAGACCAGTAAGATCTCGGACCTTATCAGCAGCATCACCCAGGACTACCACCTGGATGAGCAGGATGCTGAGGGCCGCCTGGTTCGCGGCATCATTCGCATCAGTACCCGCAAGAGCCGAGCCCGCCCGCAGACCGCAGAGGGGCGCTCCATGCGGGGTGCAGCCCCTGCTGCTGCCCCTGATAGTGGCCACGAGACCATGGTGGGCTCAGGGCTCAGCCAGGATGGTAGGTGGGGTTCCACATGGCTGAAGGGCAGAGTGAAGGAGGCTCTGGCCAAGGGAGGGCTGCACTGGGTGTGTGGCCACTGCGGGTCCACCCCTCGGCCAGTCCCTGCTCTCCTTTGTCCTTTTCCTCCCTTTTCTCAACTCCTCTGTGTCCCCTAAGAGGACTCTCTGTCCCCCACTACCACCTGCCAGAGCTTGCAGGCCTAGCCTGGTTAATATAACGCGATCCCATATGAATCTGGACCTCGGCCCTGGCCTAACCAAATCCTCCACCCAGCCACCACTGCAGACACACACACACAAATGCACACATGCACACACGCACGCACGCACAGGCATGTGCACACGCAAGTCGTCTGTGTCTTTATTTTAAACATTGTTTCTCAAGCCTGGCCCAGGTAGGTGACCCCTCCCTCATCAGGCTGGGAGCTGAAGGGGGGGTAGGGTTAAAAGGATGTGATAATGACCACTGCCCCCTCCTGTTCCCTCCCTAGAACTCACAGTGCAGATCTCCCAGGAGACCACTGCAGATGCCATCGCCAGGAAGCTGAGGCCTTATGGAGCCCCAGGTTTGGTCCTGACCTGATGAGTCAGGGGGCACCGCCCTCAGCACCACCCCCCCCCGCCGCCATGCCCCTCTCCCAGCTTCCTCTGGGGTGGGTGGGGCTGGGATCAGAAAGGGACCAGAAGCTTGAGCAGCCACAGACCCCATCCTAATCCTGCAATCTGGCTTAAAGAGTTCACTTAGGAGACATTCAGGGAGCTGCCCCTGAACCAGCAGGGGGCAGGTGCTCCAAAGTTGCATCTAAGCCCCCCGCGTCACTGGGGAGGACAGTGAAGGGCGGAGGCCATCCATCAGTGCTGAAGAGACACCCCCGTGTGCATTCTGTTGCCTTCTTGGTCTTCCTAAGCTCCCAGGAGTGGGGTCACTACCCTTTAACAGACAGCAAGGCTGGGGCTCAGAGAGGTCAAGAAGCTGAGTGGGTCACCCGGCCAGGATCAGACTGAGATCAGACTGACCCAGGCTTGAGTCCCACTCTCCTCGTTCTCAGCAGGCTTCTCCCTGCCCGTGGTCCCTGGATGAGCTACTTCCCGTCTCTGAGCCTGTTTCCTCTTCCCTTCCCCTCAGGATACCCAGCCAGCCACGATTCATCCTTCCAGGGCACAGACACAGACTCGTCGGGAGCGCCGCTGCTCCAGGTGTACTGCTAACCCCCACCGGCCCAGTACGGCCCACAGCTGAAGAGGGGAAGCAGGACCTCCTTTGGAGGAGGCTGGGCCACGCTGGCTCCTCCCACCTCGGCTGACTGGTTCCTGGACCATGTGCATTTCACTGGGCCATGGTGCCCACGTCACCCTGGATCCCCTGCTGGCCTGACCCCTGCCCGGGCCTGTTGCTTCCCGCCCGCGGTCTTCAGGCAGCCTGGATCATGGAAAGCAAAGACTTAGGAGTTACCTTCTGGGATTGAATCCCGGCTTTACCCCCATAAAGTACACCCCATAACCAGTCATGCAAACTTCTCCCTCCACAGGATGAGGGTGGGGGGAGAGGGTGACAGCTCAGAGCAGCTTATCTTAAATGGATTGGGTTGGGGGGGGCAGGCAGGGCCTCTGTCTTGAATTCTGTGGGCAGTGCCCACTCCACCTTATGTTCTGTTGGTTCTTGGCTGATGTTCTATATTCTAACATGACCATAGTTGCAAGTACAAAGATAGATGACTGCCTGGTCATCTCGGCTGTGATACTGCCCTTTCTGTCCAGTCTGCTTGACCGATACACAGAGCAGGAGACAGGATAGAGCGCCCAGCCTGCCTTAGTGTTGTGGGGTCAAAGGCTAAATGAGAGCAAGAACGTCCACCTCTCAGGTTCACTGTGAGTTCCAGACAAAGAGCCAGTTTCTGTAGTTTCTGTACCTGAGAAAGGTCTGACAAGTGGTTTCTGTCATTGTTGAGAGGTTCTAGGCAGGCCTACCCAGACTCCTGCTGCCCCAGTTCACCGCCTGCAGGCTGGCCTGCTTCTGGCCATCCCTGCAGTTTCCCCAAGTCCTTAAGCACGGGTCAGCCCCCACCCAGCCTCAGACTTGAGGCTTCCTCCACCTCTCCCTGGTTCTGACAGAGCACTGTGGTCTACTGGGACCTTCCTGACCTTCCCAAGTACTGTGGAGGGGGTTATTCTTTCATGGCTAGGAGGCTGGGGTTCAGAGGGGTCAAGGAACTTGTCACACAGCTAGTAACTAGCTCTGGACCTAGAAGCTGGCCTCTTGGCAGTTCTGCCCCAAAGCTGGCAAGCTCACCTGCTTGGGGGAGAAGCAGGGTCCCCTTGTCTGGGCACAAGCCCAACTGGGTTCAGAAAGATCCTACTTGGCTACTCCTCACACACAGGAGTGTCTTGTTAGTCCTCTCAGCAATGAGGACAGAGCAGGCCCACCAGACCACTCTTGACTAAACAAATTAGCTGTCCAGGATCCCCACGCCCTCACCTATAAGCCCCCACACCTCACCTTTTTATTGTCCCAACAGGCCCTTTTGGCAAGTGACAACTAGGCAAACTGTACTCATCCAGCTCCCTATCAGACACACAGTACGGTCCCCTTGGGGGCTGTGACCACAAGGCCCAGTACCAGTGACAAAACTGGCCCCTTCCCTTCAGCTCTATCTCACCCACATCAAAGCCTCGCCAAGACTGAGAATGTCCACAGTGAGAAACTGTCTAAGAGATGAAAATGGAATCAAGTCCAGCTGGTCTTAAATTCTGCTGAGTCCTGGGCCCCTTTAAGAATCTGACATAAATTCTGGTCCCTGTAACCAGAAAAACTCACCTCTGCTCAGTCACACACAGACTAAAAGCCTTGTTTTAATTCTCCCTTTAAGTAATGAAAAACAGCCTTACACTGAAAAACAGTGTAAGGACTTGCTCTGGGTCACATGGCAGAATCTGGGCTAGAAGCCAAGCCCCCAGCAGCAGCAATAAGAGAGGCCTGTCCCCCAGGGAAAGGCCAGAGGTAAGAGAAGACACAGGTGGAGTAAATAGTTTTAATGTGTAACAGTAGGCCAACCGGGGGAAGATAAGACACCCCCCAACAAGGCCCCAGCCCTTCTCCCATGATGCCCTGGGACCAGTGTGCCTGAGCCAGTCCCGTGCCTGCCCCAGCCCTGAGGCCCCCAAGTCCCAGGGGAGGGTAGGAAAAGAAGGTGGATGGCTGGGGGCTCAGCCCCAAGAGTTCAGGGAGGCAAACACAGGGCCTAGTTGAATTTGGCCTTGGAAAAATCCATTTCAGGATGCTGATCCATGAACCTGGGGAGGGAAAGTGGGAAGAAGGTAAAACAGGCCATCCCCTTCATCAAAGAGCCCCTTTCTCCCAGCCCCCCAACATCAGGTCTAATTTCTTTAGAACCCTGAGCAACTTGGAGCCAGGCCAGGCAGTGCTAGGGCCTCAGGGTCTTCCTGTAGGAGGCAATGACTGCTTGTGTTATCCCTTCCTACCCCGAGGTGCCTTTGCCCTCAAGATGACCTCGGAAAATGATTAGGGTAGGCAAACTGAGGCTATAAATCCATAAACTTGGCTGGCTCATCCCGGAAGGGACAAGGCAGCTCCTGTGTCCTGCTCAGTGACCCACTCACTGCTGTCAGCCAGGTCCAGGCCCAACACCCACCTTCCCCAACCCCCCCACCCCCACCCCGGCCAATCTCTGCATTGCTCACTTCTTCAAAATCTCCTGCTTTTTCTGCTCATCCGAGGTGGGCAGCCCCATGGACTTCTGCCTCTGGTCGTACATCATCTTTTCCACCATGCTGCGGGTCTCACTGTCCAGGTCTGAGAGCTAAGGGCAGGCGGTAACAAAGATAGGTGAACTCTGGAGCCCCCTACGCCCTCACCTCCCAGCTGAAGCCCCCCTACAACCAGCCAGGGCTCACCTTGGAGTTCTCAGGGTTGATCTTCTTGGTATTGATCTCAGGGTCACTGGACACCAAGCGGCTCCACCACTCCATCTTGTTGATCTGTGAGGAGGGGAACCACCGGGGGCTGGGAGGAAGCTCCCTCTGTGCCCTAGGATGCACCCCTCACCCTTTCCAGAACCCAACTCACTCCCATCCACATCCTGTGCGGGGACCCAGGGTGCAGATGGGCAAGGCCTCTGCCTTCCCCAGTGGCTGGGGGCAACGGATGAGACCGTTACAAATCAGCATCATCGGGGCAAAGATAAAACAGAAGGAGCTATTCATCCAGGGTGGAGAGCGAGAAGTTAAGAGGGGCACCTGGGCTGGGCCTGAGGGACACACAGTACACCTGATGAAAAAGCAAGACAGGGATTTCAGCTGGAAGGAGGAGCAAGTACAAGGGCAGAGGTGAGGGAGAGGCAGGTAGGCTAGGACGGGCCTTAGGTGCCAGGGGAAGCCTTCCTTGGACAAGTCTCTTAACAGAGACATTGCTTTACATTACATGCATTGCCCCGTCTCTCTGAGGGAATGAGCGGAGGCTTTCTGAGGGCAACTCTCTACATTTTGAGAGGCATTTCTGAGGGCATTTTGTCCACTGCCCTCTCACCAGCACTTAGAACACCCTCTGGCATGTAGCAGGTATCCCCGTATCTGCTGAACTGAAAGCATGTACAAACCACAGGAAGATGCTTCAGTACCGAAGACCTTCCATCTTAATTCCATCCCTACCTAGAGGGAGGAGCCTGGCAAATCTCGAGTTGCCCTTTTCCTGACTCTAAAATGGGACAGACCTACATTAAAAATCTGGTGCAGATTAAGCACGTCCGCTAGACCCCCAGCAATGGTCCCCGAGTGAATGAGCAGACACCTCCCTCCTTTCTCCACCAAGATGCAGGCCAGAAGGCCGCGGTGCTCACACCTTCTCCAGATGCACCGTCACCACCTTGCCGTCCTCGATGAGCCACGAGCTCTCCTCCACCTTCACCTCGTTGTAGAGCTCCCCGTCAATGACTGCCGGTTGCCCCTTGAGCCCCACTCGGAGGTGCCGCCGATGGATGTCCACCACCACATCCTTCCCCTTCAGCCGGAAGTTCACATGGAAGGGCAATGCCAGCTGCATGGGGCAGGAGAAGTCAGAAGGAGCCCCAGGCTGGCTCCCTAACCTCCCAACCCTAGCCGCGGCCACTTACATCCAGCTCGGACAAGGTCTGGGTCCAGCGGTAATTGGGCAAGTCGGCCCCATTGCCAAGGTTGGGCTTCAGTTTCCCTTTGTCTTTCTCCTCCTCCTCCTCCTCCTCCTCGTCAGCCTCCTGCTCACAGTTGGGGTGTGCTCAGCTACTTACCTGACAGGCACAGACTGCACCCCACTGAGCCAGGCCCAGGGCTGACCCTGGGCATGCAGCCGCCAGATGAAACAGACCCAGTCCCTGCCCGCTCCATGGCCCACTGGGAGCCACAGCTTCTGATCTCTGCCTGAGAGGAGCAGCATACCGTGTGACAAAGGACACAGCTGGGGAACAGTGACAGTCAGAGATGGACCCAGAGAACCTAGCTGGGGATCCAAGCCAAGGGACTTGGAAAGAAAGCCCGGCACAGAACAGAAGGTCACAAGGTAGCCATGCGCATGGTTGTTCTAAAACAAAACCAGACTGCCCAACGATCAATTTTCTTCTTCAGTGTCTGTAGGGCTGAGACCCCCAGTGTCAGACCAGAAACTCTGGAAAGCCAAACGAATGTCCCAAGGATTATTTGGGAAGCTGGATTTGAGTCAGAGGGAGGAGCCCTGAGGGGCAAATCCCCCAGATGTGTTCAGAGTAGCCCAACACACAGGGCCAGGCTGGGCCCACAGACCACGGCCCGCCTGAATGATACCTGTCCAGGCACTGCCCTCTCTGGCTCTTGGGCTTTCCTAGCAAGGCTTTAAGGCCAGTGGGTTGTTTTTTTAAAACCCGATCCTGTGGTCCGATGTCTATGAGTGGGATCTTGAACTTTGGGGAGGACCCCCACAGCTGAGGGAGAGGGCATAGGGGGAGGCACTCTAGAGACAAGAGAAAGGCTAGACGGTCCCTGGAAGTTCCCAAGCCCTGACTAGTCTCAGGCACCCCCAGTCCATCTCACCTGCTTCCCCGGTGAGCCAAGGCTGCCATTCTTGAGCTGGGCCTCGTGATTCTCTGCATCTTTTTTCTGTGGCGAAGGGCACAGCAGTTGGCAAGAGCATCCTCGCTGCCAGTGCCAACAGGGATGGGGACTGGGGTGGGGGAGCCCGCTCTTACCCGGTCAATCTCCAGCTGCAGCCTCTCTGCCTCCTCATCAGTCAGCTCCTTGATCTGG